GGCGCGGCCGCCTAGTTATGTAACGACGCTATCATTAACTCGCTTGTAGCATCGATTTATAATATTATAATGAATTGAAGAGGATGTTGAAGGGAGCGGTCATAGCATAATTTAAGGTACTATCCCTTCTTTTACCAGGAAAGACTAAGGAAAAACGCGAAAATTTTTCAAGTTATTTCGCGTCCCTAACTCAAGCAAAAAGAGCTATCACTTGAGCCAACTTGCTTATTCTCTGCCCTGATATGATTCCAATTTCGAAATGTGATTGCTGTAGGTTTTTAAGACTGCGAACACTGGCCTTGTTAATATCTGACCACCAGGTGACGAAAAAAGGTCAACTGACAACTGACATGAGGTCAGTAACCCCCTCCCACTTGCGTTTCGTCTTCTGGTCCATAGGTCTTACAGAAACAAATCTATTGATATCTGAGGTTCAGTGAATGCAGTGTTTCTTTCGTCTGTCCATTATGTTTTAATTTGGCCCGACTAGTAATGAGTGGACTTGCCAGCCAGACGGAGCTAGTGTATAGCAGTACTTTATGCCTAGCCCAGAAGATGAATGGAGCGCCATTCCCTCAGGCCTTTCTTTCTCTTTAGCATTTTCCCGTGAGTGATCACGTCAGCATTTAGTTTACGACGTTTTCACTGGTCTGATCCCACCTCAGTACTCTGTATTGTTATAGTGACATGTAGCATTTGAATAGGTCGTTTCATACTGTATTAGTGACCGTCACTCAGCTGGTCTCTCATTCTCTCCATCAGTCTCTCTGAGATGATTTAATATGATTATTTTTCGGCACGTATTGGTTTCATTTTTAGTTAAAGGCTATTTAACGACATTGTGTCAGTTACATTTTTTCTGCACCGCCGAAGCATTGTAGAGTTGTGAAAAGGTAAGAACTTGGAGGGAGAAAACTGTGATCCGTACATACATTAATCTCTAGCGATATTTCCCAAACTCTTTGGTCTAGTAGTCAGAGTTCCTGGCTACAGATCCAGAGGTCCCGGGTTCGATTCCCGACGGTACCAGATTTTCTGAGAAGTAGTGGGTCAGGAAAGGTGACCACTCAGCCTCGTAAGGATAATTGAGCTATTTCAAGGAAATATCGGCTCCGGTCTAGAAAACCGATATTAATGGCCGTGGGGATCCGTTGCGCTGACCACGTGACACCTTCTATCCTCAGAAGTTGGCACTAACTTCGCCGACAAGCGGCGGTCGCTCGGCCAGTATAGTTCGCTTGCAGACTACAAACCACGGAGTTTTTTTTTGTTTACTTTCCTTCAAAAGTGAGACTGCTCGATCCTAATCTAAGGCCATATATTCCCCACCGCTCCGTAGAATTGTTCCCTTGCGTGGACATATAGGTAACCTAAGAAGTATGTAGCCTGTCCCTTTGCTTACACAAATAATTCCTCATCCGAAAGTAACTACATACCTCGACTACGGAAATGACACAGAGTGCGAAAGAAATTTGAAACAAACAAATATATCACTGCTGTCTGTGTATTTGTTTCTGGAAATTTGCCATCAAGTAACATTGACACTAAAAGAGCAGCCATTAAGTCCCCCCACAATCTTAGAACCGTTTCTTTGGAGGAGATGAGTGGAAAAAAGAAAGGAAGGAAGGAAGAAAGAAAAACTTCGGTCAGGATAACCGGTGAATGAAGTGGAATGATGTGACGGTCATTAGAGTAACAGGATATGTATTGTGTAGAAAATTATGCGCATCAATATTCCGCGTGTTGATGGATTGATGTCCATATGAAAACCTGAGCAGAATTAATTTGTTCTGTAGGCTCGTCTTAAAGAAAACCAAGGTCATGCAGAATCGGTTTGTATTTATATGTCTGATTCCTTGGTACGAGACAAGATTTAATCAAAATTTATTGTTCGAGAGCACAGCAAAGTACAGACCGCAGATGGACAAGAATTATTAAATCTGTATATTCTGTGTGTATGTAATATTATGAGTAATTTGATAATCTGTTACCAAGGTTTCAGAGCTACCTGTCGCCTGTGCACTACATGTTCTCTTAAATCCAGATGGCCACTCAGCCGTATGCTATTTCTCTAACAGTTGGCACGCTGTCTGCATGTACGAGTAATTCCGTTTTTCAGTCTTCATTGTCAAGGTCTGTTGCTTCCGTTGCCTGTTCGAAACCAGTTTCCCATTCGTTTCTTATTTCTCTAGACCAGTTTAACGTTTAATATGACTATTTTGAATTAGCTGGTCTATAGGCAATTCAGAGACCGCCTCTGTGGTCTAGTAGTCAGAGTCCTTGGCTACAGGTCCAGTGGTCCCGGGGTCGATTCCCTGCGCTACCACATTTTCTGAGAAAGTAGTGGGTCTGGAACGGGGTCCACTCAGACTCGTGAGGATAATTGAAGAGCTATTTCAAGGAAATAGCGGCTCCGGTCTAGAAAACCGAGATTAGCGGCTGTGGGGATTCGTTGCGCTAACCACGTGACACCCTCTTCAATAGATCACTGTAGGTCGCAGTGCAAGGGCCGAGAAGGCCCACCTCTTATACACTCATTCATTCATTCATTCATTCGTTCGTTCATCCCCCGAAGTTGGCACTAACTTCGCCGACAAGCGGCGGTCACTCGGTCGGTATAGTTTGCTTGCGCACTCAAGCCACGGAGTTTTTTTTTGTAGGTAATTCAGGATTTCTTACCTTCAAGCTTGCCCTTTCTCCGATAGCTATACGAAATTACTGTTCGCCGATAAGATAGAAGGCCATTGTAATGACTTGTCGAGATACTGTGACCTTAAAATAGGTCACGAATACTCCTGCTGTTGAATTTGAAGTCATCCTTCACAACACTGTACGTCTGACGTATGTGTCGGAAGAATCCGGTTCGATTCTCTGCTTGCTGGAGGTTCTCGTGAGTTCCGTCAGTTCTTCCAGGTGGCTGTTTTACACGCAACTGCTTGTTTCCCATTGTTTTTCTAGAATCATCGACCTACAAATCGCACAGTTGCGTTCGATACTATCGATTTTGCGCAGTTGATACGGTGTTTTAAACAAAGAACAAGTCTCAAGGGATGTTTTGTGTTTTCGTTATTTTTCCAGTCTGTGCTGTCAGCCCTACGCTTGTGTTTTCCACAGGATGTTTTCAAAACAGAGAATAGTTCAGGCGGATGCGGTAATTGAACTGTAAAAGCGGTTTCAGGGCGCGTAAATACAATCATTAGAGTGTTATTGAGCAGAATTTTTCTTCTTCTTTTTCTGAGATGTGTCTTGGAGTGGAATAGGAAAATGAAGTACCATTTGTGGGGAAAGGAAGTCGATATATTAAAAGCCGAGGTGGGACCCAGATTTAATCAGGCCTTTTTGTAATGCGAGCTGCTTTGATTTATATGTGTAAGTGGGCGCTATAGGACTGATTTAATATTTTTAGGGTCATTGAAGAAAGAATGATGAGAGTGGTAAAGTACACAGCGCACGTGGGACATACGAGAAGTATATGCAATTTATATTGGACGTTTAAATGCGAAGATACCGCCTGTAAGACTTAGGCGTATTTGAAAGCATAATTGTTAACATGCATGCTTCAAGGAATTGAGTAAGGGCGATGTGACATTTCGGACGAAATAGTTTTCCATTTGGTGTACTGAATCTTGCAAGTTTAATCTAGAAATGCGATCAAATGTTAGTTAAATACGCGGAAGAAGAAATTACTGAGGAAGGTGTATGGGCCGTTAACAGACAAGGGGTCCGGAGAATAGGAATCAGCCACGAATTGAGGCAATTGAATAAAACTCCTGATCTGTTAAAGGATATTAAACGGACAGAGTTGGAGCCGTTAGGGCATATGATTAGAATGAGTCAAACCGGTGTGACAGAGCATTTTTGGAAGTTGTAAGGTACAAGGTAAGTGAATAGTCCCAGACCGAGATAGCTGAACAATGCAGAGAATGATTCATGAGAGCTGGAAGTGAACAGATGGAGGCAGCAAGTAAATAATGGATAAGAATAAGCGTCAGTGGCAAAAGGGGCCAAGGTTCTCAGAGGAATATACGGCCAAAGAGTATGTAAGCAAGTAAATCGCATTTAGTAAATTGACGGTCGCAATTGGCCATTAGTGTTCAAGCTTTATTTTATGCTAACGTTTCAGAAGAACGTAAAAGGTAAAGTTTTGCTTAGCTAATTAAACACTACGCCATGAAGGCGTATGGGGGTGTGGATGTATAGATCCACATTTTCTTGACCTTGGCACTAGCTGGAGGTGAGTGGTCAGCTTCACGCCCCTGCTACTTTACCCCCGGGGAAAGATCCCCCGGTACCCATTGGATAGGCGGTTGGGTGGACCCCAGAGCCGGTCTGGACGAAGTTGAGAAGAGAAAATTGTTGACCCTACCGGGACTCGAACTCCGACACCTCGGTCGTCCAGCCCCGTAGCCAGTCGCCATACTTACTACGCTATCCCGGCTCCCCATCGTTCAGAATAACAACATTTAAATCAAAATCGACAGTTCTTAGTTAGTTCTTTATTTTGACGCACAGATGGACATGGTCGTATAGACACAAAGATGATTACTCGTGAACGGACGGACATACACGTAAAATGCTGATAACACTTTCTCTTTCTTTCTTGCTCATGTCCGAAGTAGTTGGATGTGTGTGTGTGTCGACATTATGGGAACATAAGCGCATCGTGATGCTCATTAAATCGTGGTAGATAAATTACTCATCCCTTGCCCAGTTTGGCCTCCGGATATCATGTAGGCGGCCTGTTTCCGCTTCTCACCTCCACTGTTAGCGCCAATATATTGTTTCCGTCGTAATTTCATCTCTTGTGTTGCCGTATGCATGCTAAGTCCGGCCGTCAGTTGAGTTATGAAGCAAAGTGCATCCGCTACTCGTAAGTCTGATGCTTGTACGTAATTCAAACCAGGATTATACAAACATATCTCATGTCTTATCGATATGTTCGTTACAGAATCGTGTAGTACTTTGAGCCTGCGTGTTAAATGCTTACCTAGCCCTTGACTACAGAGCTCCAGTAGGACGGGTGCAATAAGTTTTGTGTATTCAGGCTGCAGTGACTTGAGAGATAGGCATGACGTCCGGTATTCACAAGAGTGTTCGCCAACGTGAATTGTCTGCAATGGAAAATCTTCCTTGGACGTTGCGAGCTCCTACAAAGAATAAATAATTGTATTAAATGTACGAAGAATTATGTTTGCAAATTATGTTCGTCTTGGTCACGACACTGAAAGCAACTCTCCTTTGTTATTTCGATAATTAAGGGATAGCGCGGTCGGTATAGCGACTGGCTACTGGCTGGACGACCAAGGGGTCGGAGTTCGAGTCCCGGTAGGGTCAAGAATTTTCTCAACATCGTCCAGACCGGCTCTAGGGCCACACATCGTCCTATCTAATGGGTACCGGGTGCTCTTCAGTGGCCGGGGCGCGAAGCTGACCACTCACCTCCGGCTAGTGCCGAGGTCAAGAAAATGTGGATCTATACATGCACTCCCCCATACGCCTTCATGACTCAGTGCCTAATTAGTTAAGCACAGGGACAACTTTACCTAACAACGTGTAAGAATAGATCTCTAGCGAATTAAATAACTTGGTAGAAGATTGTTACATATTGATATATTTTAATAGTGGACGAGTTTCTTGTTGTTTGCCATCAGGTGAACCATGGTCAATTGCTTGAGATCTAAGGGTAGGCGTAGTGCATCGTATTGTTTTCCGTATGTACGATTAGTAATAGGCATGCATGTGGGTCTCACCCACTTTGTTCATCGGATAGGTTTCCCAAAGCACAAGCAGAAGCAGCTTTCAGTGTCTATGCATTTTAAACAAATCTCGCCCACGTTAACTTCATAATAATTGGGCCAATTTCCCTTAAATTTTTGCAGAGGCATCTTGTTATTGGAGGTTCCCAGGCGCCGTGCCATCAGAATCCATGCAGTTAACTATATAAACATGGAACACTGTTTGAGGTCGTCGTTGGAAGGAGCAAACTCGATGGTCAATAACAGTGTAACCGCTAGTTCTCTGCCTGCAACCTACTTTCCGGATCACCAGCACAGTGAAAGACACTAGTAGTGAGGCTTGCGTATCCGTACAGTAACGGGGATGATCCGTGATACGGTGATGACGGTGGAGAGGTTCGGTTATTCCTCTGCACCACCAGTGCCTTCCGTCCCGTGAGAACCGGGCCTCAAATGCCCGGATTAAAATGGTTAGCCCAAAGTACAGAACTCGTCTTGCTTTGCCTCCATGCTTTTACGTGGCTACATGATGGGTTTCTCATAATTCCTACAGCTGGTATAATGTTTTAAAAAAGGCCACGGCTGTTCCCGTTCGCGCCCTCTTCCTCGACACTCATGGGCATTGCACAGTTTCTGTATAACCACTGCAGTTGACTCAGCCGACAAACTGAACTCCGTTGCCTGTAGTACGCAAGCGAACTATACCGACCGAGCGACCGCCGCTTGTCGCCGAAGTCAGTGCCAACTTTAGCGGCTAGAGAGTGTCACGTAGTCAGCGCAGCGGATCCCCACCACCATTAATCTCGGTTTTCTAGACCGGAGCCGCCATTTCCTTGAAATACGTGTAGCTCCTCAATTATCCTCACGAGGCTGAGTGGACCCCGTTCCAGACCCAATACTTCTGAGAAAACCTGGTAGCGCCGGGAATCGAACCCGGACCTTTGGATCTGTAGCCAGGAACTCTGACCGCTAGACCACAGAAGCGGTATCGACAAACAACAGAAATAAAGAGTTGAAAATCTTATAAAGCCTGTCTTTATAGAAGAGTTAAGGGAAAAAGAATGACAACATCAGGAAATGAGTCGTATTAGTCGAGTCCTGTCAGCTTTCGTGGGCGGTACCGCAAAATCTCGTCTTTGAATATGTTGGGTGATTTGTGCCGTTATTGCGCCCATTGATAACAGCATGTGGGTTTGAGTGCTTATCGAGAATATAACTGGATGACGAAGACCTCATTGCTACATACTATGAAACTACTGTTGCCGTGACGTTGCATATGCGATGACGTCAGGTACAGTTACAATATGGGCACGCAGCTGTGCTGAATATTGGTTTGGGCATTGCTGTGTTCTGTTGATTGAGCCCGGAATGAAACCCTTTCAACACAGGCTTCCTAAAACACGTAGAGGCTCTCGGAATTAATGTCTTGAAAATGGGTTGGACTAGGAGACCGGCTGGCAGGCAATGGGTTTCGACAGTAGTACTCAGAAAAGACAATTACTTTGTTATTTCATCATCTTAGAATTTCGAGCCATGGATTTTTCTTATCGCCACTATTTCTCTCTCTCTCCCTATCCTCTCTCACTCCCCCCCTCCAACCGCTCTGTGGTTTCTGGTATGGGCTAATTTCCCATAAAGAACTCATAGCAGATGAATCCGTGAGATGATCCGGCGGGTTGAGAGCAATCGAAGAAAATCTTGAGGGAAAAGTTCCTACGAAGAGAGACATGTTCGCATTAATTAAATTTTTCTTGACCATGGCATCCCCGATTGTGCCACGAAGCGCACAGAAATTTGGTTCAGGGAGTTAGTTACAGAGAATGGTATTCGTGTAGCGCCGACGTGACTGTCAGATGCTAGTGGCTGTATCATTGTTGCTTTCACGAAGCATCGTTATTATGACGCATATAGCATCAACTAAAAGAAGAGATTGCTTCAAGATTTTATTATAACAACGCCCCTGTAGCAGTGACACGTTTATGAACTTTTTTTTCTGAATACTTGTGAGTAAAACTGTTAAGTGACTCAAGTTTAGCTTCGCATTTGCTTGCAGTTCACGTACGGTAATATTGTGGTGAGTTCTCATACGTTCCTTGCCCAGAGTCCACATCAGAAGTGCACCTGAAAGATTTCTAAGCGAATTTAATATTGGTTCGAATCTATCAAATTATGTATACGTACATACCATAATTTACACGATTCACAAATGTATCTTGTAGTGTTTGTTGTGCTGAGACCCAGTTCCAATCCAAGGGTATTGCGGTATTTAGACCCGTTGCTAGGCAACGATCGCGAAATAAGCAGCTATATTCAGTAGCCGTTGCTAAGTTATGGTTTTGTAAACAACGGCTGCTGCTGGGTAATGACCGCAACAGACACGCAACAATAAAAGAGCCGTTGGAAGCGGTGGTCTCTACGCGGTCTATGATATATCTACTTGATACAGCAATAGAAGAACTTTTGGAAGCGGTCTTCTCAGAGCGGTCCATGCCGAGGCTTATAACGACGGGCAGCTGCCATTTAAGAGTCTTGAGGCGGTAGTTAGAGGAGTAGGAGGGTGATGTGAGATGGCCGCCAGCCTGAGAGTTAGTGCAGTGGAGTGAGTAGGTTTGTAGGCGAGTGAGGAGAGCCGCGGCTCAGTCCTCGTGAGCTGTTGTTGTTAGAAGATGGGTAGCTAAGGCATGGGAACAGTTCGTGAACCCAGAGGAAGGGGAACGCCCGCCGTTGGAAGCCGGTACCAAGCAACGGCAGTGAAGACGTGAGTGTGGACACTAATATGTGTGTGTAACAGTGTACTGTAAAGTGTAGTTGCGCGTTGTATCAAAGAGTCCAATAGATCCGGTCATAAACCCGAGACCCATCTATAGTAACACTCAATCACGTGACAGTATTCCATGATGTAAAGTGGACAGATTGGCATTTCGGTATGTTTTCGCAGATTTACGTAGATTTTCCTCTTTCTTTCATTCCATTGATGCTCCACACTGATCTGGTACCGCCTGCGAGATCTGTTGCTGTATTGATCACCAGACACCATGGAATTCACTTCGGACCTGGCACTTAACGTTATAAATATATTTGTTACAATGAAAAGGCACGTCAATGCCTAAAACAGGACGGATTCAGAAGCTGTAATGCTACAGTTACTCTGTTGTAAGCTACCGGCGGTTATCGCGTGTAGAAACATAATTAATTTCAAATTAAGCATTTGAAGCCGTAATTACTCGTGTAACGAACTGTAACGCCGAGGGTTCTTCGTTTGCTTGTTTATCTCATATTCGGAAACTGCGGCCGAATCAGAAGAGACATAACAAATTAAATTTCAGGTGACGCCATCCGCAGGCTCTGTGCGTGGAGCAGGGACAGCCATCTTCTGGGATATAGCGCCGTGTAGTACGTATATGAGCCGACGTTTCCGAGGAAAGAATCACCACCATCTCCTGGGTCGAAAATCAGCCGAGTGAGAAACTAGCGAGAGCAGGTGGCTGGGCACAATTAAGAGTGGGGGTGTTCGAGACGATTTTGAAACATAAAATGTTGTACAAGAAATTAGCACCGAAGAATCTGGAGGAGCTTGGAGACAGGGTGACCCCTAAACGCTTTACCACGGCAAGCATATTATTACAACTCTGCGGGAAGACGTGACTTAGGACGACGTAGGAAGAGACGGATGGAACAGCTCTGCCTTGGAACAGAATCCGGCCCAGTCCTTGCCACGATAGTATAACAGTAATAATATTAATGACAGTAATTCAGTAATTCAATTCTTTATTATTTATATGCCTAGTCAACAGCTACAAGGCGAATTGCAGACACAGCACAGTGTAAATACAAGTAATTACATTATAGACAAACACAACACAGTGTCAAAGACAAATTACAGGCAAGCACTGGATGAAACAACACATTAATACAGAAAGTAAACAAACGAACGAAGATAAGGAGTGGTAACAACACATTAGTACAGAAAGTAAACAGACAAACGAAGATGAGGAGTGGTAACAAGAACATAGTAACTAACAAATACATAGCACAGGACATTAAATAATATAATAATAATAAATGGCCTCCACGCCTGTTATACTCGTAGTCACATTCTTGGCGAAGTTCCTGGGATGAATTTACCTTAATTCGTCTTGGAATTCCTTTTTGAATTTGAGCACTGCTTGATATTCCTCTACCGATCTGATCGATGTAGTTACAGCGCTCGGTTCTAATCTCAGTCAGGACACCGGCTGTCCCGACGGGCTTCATGGTTTTCTTCAGTCCCTTCAGGAAATTTTGGTATATTGCCTCCATTAGACCATGCCGCTTTCCAGATCATTTCTGTCGTCATCCTGTCAATCGCCAATATAGTCTGGATACGGGCAACGTCGTGAAATAAAGAGCAAGAATTCCTGTTGTACGTCACC